GATATTAAATGAAGTAAAATATTTAAAAAATTTGATCAATTTATTTGAATTTTATTTCAATGGAATTCAATTATCGAAAAACTGACAAGTAAATAAATAACTTACTTCTGCTCGTTCATAAGCTGGTCGATTTTTAGTTCCTGGTATAATAACATAAGGAACTCGATCACCTAAATTAGGTGCACTACCAGGATCACGTTTACGCATTTTATTAGCTAATTCAACATGTGGTTGTTTATTAGCATATTCTGCATCAGTTTTTGTTAATTCTTTACTAATAACTAATTGTGATATATCAATTCGATTACATAATAAATCTGAAATAACATTTTTAACATATTCAACAGCACCATCTGGATCTCTAATAAGCAGAATAAAAATTAAAAAAAAAGATTAATTATTAAAATTTCAAACCTTTCAATAAGTAATTTTTCTAAACATGTACTTATTAAACTAGCAACAAGTTCACAATTATCACGTCGTACTGTTTCAATACCTTTACAATCCATTTTATCATGTTTATCTGGACGTGTAAAATAAAGACCAGCATAACGTTTTTTATTAATTAATAAATATGGATAATAACATTTTTCAAATTCAAGTTTAATTGGTGGTGGAAAACTTGATGAAATAGTTGTTGCTGCTAAACGACCAAGTTTCATAGCTTCTTCTAATGTTTTAATACCAAATTTAATCATAACTGAATCTGTATCACCATATATAACTTTAGCATCATGTTCATAACCTTTAGCTATTGTAAATTCACTTTCAATTAAAGCTTTAGTTTTTTCTATCATTTCACGACCAAATGCTGTTACTGATTGAGATATTTCAAGACATGGTAATTTACCAACTTGTGCACCTGTAAAACCATATACGGAATTAGCAGATATTTTTAAAGCATTCTGACGACCATCGAGAACTTTTTTACGAAATTCATCAGTTTCTTCTTTCATCATCTAAATATAACAAAGAAAAAAAAACGAATTTTAAATAACAAAAAAAAATGAAAATGAATTTTGTTCAGAGATAACAAAAAATACCTGTTTTGCTTTTTTACGAGCACTAAGTAAATTTTCAAGAATTTCAGGTAATAATCCACGACGAACTTTAGCTGTTACGAAACAATTACCACTTGGTGTTGTAATATATTCATCATCAGATAGTCTAGAAAAAGAAAAAAAAATATCTATAGAACTATTCAACAAAGTATTATAATAAGAAATTTTATACAATCTATTCATTCATATTATATTTATATTTAATTTAATAAAAAACAAAAAACTCAAAACTTACGTTTGTTTTATTCTTCCATCATTAATTAATGTTGAATAACATAAATTATATGCTTGCATAATTGATGGATACAGTGATGAAAAATCTAATGTTGTTATTGGTGTATCATAATAACCACGTATTGGTTCAATAACTGTAGCACCAGTAAAATCATCACCTGTTTCACTAATTTTTAATGCTGGTATCAATAAATCTTTTTCTTTACATTTCCGTAGAATTTGTGAAATAACTTTTATTTGTTGACCACGTTGAAGTAAATAATTCATTGGTACACCAGTAACACGAGCCATTTCCATATAATTAATTAATGACATTAATTTTTCTAATAAACGTAATGGTAAATAAGCATCTTTAAGACAATATACTGCAAGACGATGACGTGTTTGAGCATTACCATTCTATTCAAAAATTTAAAACAAATTGAAATATTTAAAAAATAAAGAATAAAAAAACATTAAATTTACTTGTAAATCAGTTATTATTGAATGTTGTACATCTTCTTTTTGTTGTTGAAGAAAATGAAAACTAACAGCATTAAGTGTATATGAACGAAGTTTATATTCACGAAGAAGAACCTAAACATAAGATAAGTCTATATTTTTGTATTATTCATTTGTTTGAATTTCTATTGTAAGATTAGAATTATAATTCATATTAAGGATGTAGCTAGCATGGTGATTACCGATCCACTGTTCACTCCTAATAACGACGTATCGGTTTTATGTAGAACGCTGCATGAATCTAGACATGTACGTATTAAATTACGGTGATTTTAGATTCATTTCAGGAAAATAGCTGAATTTTATAAAACGTGACTAAATCGTGAGAACTAAGCCTTTCTCGATTGCGAGAATTTCGACAAATCTCCTATAGATTCGAATCATTCGACCACAAAAACTTTTAGTCTATGATTATGAAATTCAGCTATTTTCTTGAAACGATCATTCTAATTGAAATTAATCCAAGACCACTATACCATTACTATGCGTTCGCTATCTTCACGGCTAGTCTATACGCACATGTTTAGACCGTTGCATCGTTCTCAGCAGTGAATGGTGAATCGATACCAACCGTAGCACAGTGTGGCAACAGCGAGCGTGAGGAGTCACCCATAACCTTAAGAAACGTTCGTTTTTTTCACTGAAGTTCCAGCATTGTATTAGTGTTTTTTGCTCACCAATTCTAAAGAAAACACTCAACATTGTCTCTTCTCTCTCTCATCATCATCATTTGTCCAATAAAATTCAATGATAATTACAAGATCCTTTTCGAATAGCATATCAGAATTCATTTGCACAATTATTTAAAATTTTATGTACAAAATCAAATATCTTTTTCGATATTTCAAAATTGAATCAAGATTTATTTTCTTCTTATGTGTATAAAGAATATTAAGAATATCATACTATATTGATTTGTATAGCGTTCAATTGTGTTATTGATGAATTTTGATTAGGAAATGTTTTTCGTTTAAAATTATTTGTTACACTCATCTGAAATAATTTTAAAAAAATCTCCTCATATCCTATTCTTTTGTCTATTTCTTTTATTAAAAGACAAACAAAAGATTGAATATGTCTACAATATTAATGAATCGCCAATTAATCCATAAAAAATTCAATTAGTAAGATATATTGTTTATTCAGAATCAATGAGTACATGATATATTTCTATTTGAATAAAAAGAAAATATAAAATGAAAATATAAATCAAATCAAACTTGAAAATATCTGAACTAAGTACTACGATAGATATAGATGATCACAAATGACTAGAAATAATCTGGCGGAGTGTATAAACAACATAAAATATATTTTTTTTGTTTCTCAATCGGATAAGAACGACGTGCATAATAGTCGATTACAGCTTTTTCTGCTGCTGATGCATTTATCCAATGAGCTTGACAAAGTGGACAATTAGTTGATTTTCCTTTAATATGTTTCCATTCATTCATACAATCTTTATGCATTGATTTACCACATGAATAAAAACATGTTACTAATTTTCTATTTTTCATAAGTAAGCGTTCAAAACATATTGGACAAACATCATTATAATCAATTGATTGACATTTAAAAGTTAAAAGTAATTGTTCTTTTTTATTTAATTGTGACGATGGTGGAACAATTGAACAAAGTCGACGAATTTGTCCTTGAAAAATATATTCTAAATCTATATTAGTAAATCGACGATATTCCATGATTGAAAGACGAAGATCCAATGAATAAAGATCAATATTAAAAATACGTTTGAGTACAAATAGAAAGTGTTTACAAACGTTATTTTTTTGAAATTTTTTACATGAACATGATGAATGATAACTAATTATGATTTTATATCGATGACGATTATATGTATAAATCCAACCTTCAAATCGATCGGATGATAAAAATTCATGTTGAATTAAATAAAAATGTCGTGTTAACATTTCACCAAGTGCTTTATCAAAAAGAATTTTCCGATGATTTGATAGTATTTCTTTAATGGAATCATCATGTTCAACGGAAGAAGATGATGATGATGATGAATATGTTTGCTAAATCAATTTGAAAATATTTAACAATTTTTTTTTTTTTGATTCATTTAAAAGTTCTTACAAGTATTAGTTGTTTATCATCATCTGATGATGATGGGTAGATATACACATGTGTTTCACTCTCTTGTAATTGTATCACCGAGCTCATTGAAAAAACAAATATCTCAAAAAGGAATAATTCTTATTGAATGATATTCAATAACTATAGAGAAAAATTAAGTTTTCAAAAAATTTATGTTTTTATTTAAACTAGAAAAAAAAATCGAGTCACAACTTCACTTGAACATTTTCATTTTGTTGATCTAATACAACAAGAGCATTTTCAAATCGTTTTCGTACAATATCCGATCCAAAAAAAGTTGCTATTTCCTGAACAGGTGGTCCTTGTAAACAACCACATAAAACTAATCGCCATATACGAAATATTTGTTTATTTGTTATTGTATTTGGTTGATATTCTTTAATGAATTTTTTGATATCATCATGTCTAAAGTGAATTTCATTGAAATTATTTAATGTTTGTTTAATAACAAATTTAAATTGTTCAATATTATCAATAAAATCTTTTTTTATTTCTGGTTCTTTCCATAAATATTCATATGAATTATTTGTAAATAATTCATCAAGTAAAATAATACGAAAATCAATCATATTTAAAACTTTTTCAAGATAATCATTTTGTAATTGTATTGAACTTATGAAATTTTTCTCTGGATAATAATGAAGAACTTTTTGACGAAGTTGTTCAATAATATTTTGACGACCTTCAATTGATTTTTGATATTCACGTTTAAAATGTGCTCGTTGACAAAGTGATAATTTTTTAAAATCAACTATAGCTGCATGTCGACTAAATAATTTTATATTAAATAATGATATCATTTCATCAAGTGTTTTTCCAGTAATTGCATCTTCATCTGTAAAACCACCACCACCACATAGAGTTATAAAATTTAATATAGCATTTGGAAAATAACCTTTTTGACGATAATAATCAATTTCAATTGGATTAATAACATTTTCTGGATCACGTTTAGATAATTTTCTTCCACGTTCACGTTCAAGTAATGGTAAATGACCATATATAGGTGCTGACCAATTAAAAGCTTTATAAAGAAGTAAATGTTTTGATGTTGATGTTTGCCATTCATGACCACGTAAAACATGAGTTATATTCATTAAATGATCATCAATAACATTTGCTAAATGATATGTTGGATAACCATCTGATTTAAGAAGAATAAAATCACCTTCAGTTATATAAGGACTATGTTCATGATGACCATAAACAAGATCTTCATATACTTGAATACCTTGATCATCAGTTGGTAGAGAAAAACGAATGACATGTGGAAGACCTTGTTGAAGATATTCATCTAAAGAATAATAACATTTCATTAATATTAAAAGATTTGAGTTGGAAATTCTATTATCACGGATATGAAAAACTTCGAAAAGATGGCTGACTTCATCTGTTTTGACATATCTAACGTATTGGAAGGCATTAATCGAATCCTTAATAAAATGAAATTGACAGTTTAAAAAGCTGCTCATATGAGATCTATATATTGACTAGAAGTTTAGTAAATTTCAGTCTTAGGCTTTAGTTAAAGTTCTTTTATGAATGGCAACAATGGAACATTTTAATTTTGCATTATATTCATTCGAAGAGAACTTTTTGATGTATTATTATCGTTAATAGTAAAATCTTTCAAAAGTATCTGTTATTACTACTCTATGAAATATTCAATAAAAAAGTAAGTCATACTTTGTTGTTTTTCTGTTAATTGTTTACATCGTCCATCATATCTATATGGTTGTGAACGTCGTTTACATTCATGTCTTAAATGCATTAATCGATCGACAGAACAAAAACATCGATAAATATGTGGTTGATTTTGATGATTTAATTTTCCAAATAATTTATTTAAATATTTTCGATATATGTCAACACGTTCAGATTGTATAATAGGTGGTTCATCTGGTTGTAAACGTGTCCATTTAAGTAAAGTTTGTATTTGTTCCATAGAATCGGGTACTATACGTTCTCGATCTGTATCTTCAATACGTAAAAGAAATTTTCCATTAAATGATTTTGAAAATAAATAATTATATAAAGCTGTACGAAGACCACCAAAATGAAGTTGTCCAGTAGGTGAAGGAGCAAAACGAACACGAATAGAAGACATTTTTATTTATTGTTTTGATGAAGATGATGTTGGAACAGTACTACGTTGAATTTTTTGCATACAGTGACGAAATTCTTGCATTTCTTTCGTACAATTTCGCCAATCTTTTTTTTCAATATAACATTCTTGTAATTTTTCGTGAAATTGATAACAACCAGTTTTACGAATAGCTGATGTTACTTGATCTTCGTCGTCGTCGTTATTATCACCTGATGATGATGCTTGATTTTCTTTCGTTTTGTCTTTAGATGGTGG